AGTTGTAGAAAAACGCGTATATAATGTTTGGATTTATTTTGTTTCTGAACTTAACGGCGAAAAAATTAAAGAGGGTATATACGAGGCAGAAATGCAACTAACATTATTATAAGAATTATTGAAATAATAAAAATAAATATAATTTTTTTCTTTTCTTTTTTTAATTCCATAATCTTTAACTTTGCCTTGATTAATAAATTCGCTGTGTTCATGAGAACTTTGTCTGTATGCGAAGCACTAGTCAAGGACGTATTCATTTATTAACTAGAGAAAGAGTATTTGCCAAACGTCTTTTTGCTCGTTCATTATTGTTATATCTAATAACAGGATTTTTGTTCAGTAACGCGTTTATTTTTTCTTCATCATAACTATTGATCTCTTTTAATTCTTGTTCCAATACATTAATTTTATTATCTTTATACTCAATTTCTTCGTCCATTTTTTCTATTGTTTCAACCACAGCATTGCCTAATTCTTTTAAAATTCTGTTTTCCATATACAGTTGATTAGATGCTTTAACTTTATTACCAACAGATAAACTATTAAACTCAATGCAGTCTTTTTTTATTCTATTTTGAATAATTTTTATCTGATTTTTGTCTGCAACATCAATTAGTGCCATTATTTATTAGATAGGGAATTCATAGTCTTATCAAAAATTTTATCAAATTCTTTCTCGGCCTGTGGAGCTGTCTGCCAGTCCTTATCTTTTATACTCCCAGCGGCATGCTGAGCACTAATCCCTTTCAGGGACGCTTTGTAATCTGATTGAGATGTGTTTGCTTTGTATTTAGATTTAATTTGTATCTATTTTTTGTTATATTGTTCTATGTTGTTTGATTTTTTGTTATGTTTAATTAATGTTTCACCAGTGAGAAATTTTATTTGATTCCTAATTGTGTTTTCACCAATTTTATTCTGTTTAGCAAACTCTTTTAAAGTAATATTTTTAGAAGTAGGATCTCCTTTTTGTGCTAAAAAATTTAATGCTAATTGTCTTGATCGCATATTATTTAAATTCTTAACTCATGGAATACTAGACTCTGTTAACGTATAATCTTTTTTAATTATTATATTTATCTTTTGTTTAGCTGACTGTTCCCTTTTGGTATTATGAGCCATTTATTATAAAATAATATCTTTCTAATAAATGGGGYATAAAGATTGTCAGATTGATCATGAACAAACATCTCCGAATAATGAGTCGTTATTAAGAAAATGTTCCATTTGTCAAACCATAAAATCTCATTCAAATTTTGTTAAAAGTAAAAATCAGAAATATGGAATCGGAAACGTGTGTTATGATTGTAAAAAAAGACGAAATGATAAATTTACTTGTGATATATGTTTTATGGATGTTCCGATACGATATAAAAAAAGACATTTCAAAAAATATGGCATGAAAAATTAGAAAAATATATTAACGACTTAAAAGGATAATCTCATTCTTAAATTTTTTTGAATAATTTTTTCCCTAATAAATGGGACTCTCGAAAGATGAGCTTCGTAAAATGACCGTTGAGGAACTTATAAAACTTACTAAAGGTGATTTAAAAAAAGCGGGTAAGATAATTGAACAAATTAATGAAGGCAATTCGTCTTCGAGTTCAGCTTCGAGTTCGTCTTCGAGTTCAGCTAAGAGTTCGTCTTTGGCACATGAGTCGTCCTCGATGACTAAATATTTTTTAACACCACAGTCAAATAATGAGATTGTCCTAAATAAACTAAATTAAAAAAAATTAAAAACCATTGCAAAAAGATTGGAGTTAAGAAACTATTCACAATACAACTCGAAGACTAAATCAGACCTCATAAAATTAATTCTAAAAGAAGAGCTCGATGCTGGCGACTGGTTTAATAAATTAAACAGACTTAATATTAAAAAATTAAAATTGATTGCTGAAAAACTAGGTATAAAAATAAAGCAAAATAGTAAAAAAACAGATCTAGTGAATCGAATTTCAGATAATGTAAACAATGAAAATGTAAATACTGTTCTCAACGAAATCGGGTCGCAAAGTTTAGAGAAATTATTAGAGAAAACTATGTCAAAAAACGAATCGACTCAGAATACAACGATAAAAGAATTAAGAAAAATTGCTAAAGAAAAGAATATCAAAGGTTACTCTAAAATGAAGAAGGCAGAATTATTACAAAAAATTAACGACCAACCYTTCGCTTTCGAAGATAGTTATTTTACAGAGTTTTCAAAAAAATCTAAAATTAAAATAATAGAAGAAGAAACAAAAGCTGAATACAGTAAAAAATGGGGGAGACACAAAGTTTACTATAAGGTTATATTAGTGGAAGACGAAGAAACATCCGAGTCTGATCTTTCAGACATAATTATGAAAAAAATTACTGCRATTAGAGAGGGATTAAATGAAATGATTAAAATAGTAAAACAGAAAACAAATTTCAAAGAAGGAGATTTAATGAATATAGTGGTTAATCATCCTGATCTTTGGAATCCTATTTCCATAGGGTTATCAAGAGCTTCTGATATTGACAATTCGTCTTCGACTCATGAGCCTTTGGTGAATTTATTAAACAAAATTCAAAGTATCTTAACTTCAAATCAAGATTTAGATATATATACGGCTGTACATTTTATGCTGAAGTAGTTAATATGCCTAGAGGTGCTACTAATGCGAAAAGATTATTAAATATAGCAGAAGACTCGCGAACAAAGAAAAGTATAATACAAATAAAAAACAAAGATAATTTATGTTGTCCAAGGGCTGTTATTGTTGAATTAACTTATCATACAAATATTATACTTGGTAAAGAATATGATCGTAATGATATAATATATATTAGAAAGGGAAGAAATTTACAAACTACTTGTTGTTACCTTTAACATCAAGATGGGCCAATAAGCCTCAATGATCACACCCCCTCCAACGGTACTACCCTTACCTTACCGTTCGGGGTGAGACTCGACAGAGTCGACCAAGAACCGTTGTTAAGGGAACACGAAATAAATGTATAGAGTCGACCAAGAACCGTTGTTAAGGGAACACGAAATAAATGTATCAAGTCGACCAAGTGTATTCATCTCCAGTGTAACCCATTTCAAAACACTACTTTAGCACAAGAACTTTGTAATCAACTTGGAGAATATAGTAGAAATTATTTTACTTTAGATGATATTAAAAATATAGAAAAAGTATTAAATATTCAAATAAAAATCGTAGCAGCCGAATGTTTTAATTCTATAATATATTCAGGACTTGAAAAAGATGTAGAAGTTTATTTATATAAAAATGGAAATCATTTCGATACAATCAATAGTATGACAGGTTTCTACGGTCAGTCTTATTATTGTGAAAAATGTGATAAACCATATCAAAATAAAGACGGACATAAATGCAAAACGAAGGATAAAATATGCGTAATGTGTTTCAAGTCTAATCACAAAAAAGACTCTTCAAAAAGAATATATTGTGAAAAATGTAATAGATATTGCTTTAATCAAGAATGTTTAGAAAATCATTCAGAAGTTTGTGAAAGATTTCATAAATGCTTAAAGTGTAATAAAATACTCAAAAGAGGTGATAAAATGGTTGACGAAGGTAAAAAAATGATTGAAGAAGGAAATAAAATAATTGAAGAAGAAATAACACGCTTCCTCTCTGGGGCGATACTTATACAAAACCGAAGATGATTCAAAAGGGTAATCAAATCATTAAAAAAGGTAACAAAATGATAGAAGAGGGTAGTAAAGAACACAGATGTGGATGGGAAAAATGTCGAACTTGTTATAAAGAAGTTGAAATATTAAAACATAAATGTTATATGTAATGGAAACGACAAAAAGGTGGAATCTGTCAAACAACAATGAAGACGGTAATAACACATACAAAGTAAAAGGTTGTAAAAATTGTGATAGAAAAGGTTGTACAGTAACGTTTCCTGATAAAACAAACATGAGAGTAAAATATCATATCTATCAATGCAAGAAATGCAAAACCTGTGTTAAAAAACCGTTGGATGATGAAGAACCTTTTGTGTGTGTTGACTGTGGTTCTAGAAAGCATACAAATAATTGTACCTATACAGAAAAATATTGATGTCAAAATATTATGTATTTTGTATTCATTAATTATCGAGTTTCAAAAATGAGTTTACGTTGGCTTTAAAATCAGGGTGTTTTCACGATTTTTTACGCTTTTCTGTTAACCCTTGAAAATCGGGGTGTTTTACCTTAAAAAGTGCTGTGTGCTGAAGGGGCCTTTATACTACTCAGGAAAAAATTAACAATTACAGTAAAGGTCAACATTGTGTAGTAAAAATTGAGTCAGATGCAAAGGACTTAGAACCAAGGGCTATAATTTTAACTTGAGCAAATTTTGAAGTATTTTCAAGTATTGAAGAAATAAAGAGTTATTGTAATGTGTTAATGCTCTTGTAAATTTGTAAAGAATAAAAATAACTATCTAACCCAAATCTAAATCTTTATTTTTTTAAATAAATAAAATTATATTTGCGTATAAAATGTTTAAATTTTTTGATGTTTTTGATCTAGTTCTTAGGAAAAATTACAATCAACAAAAAATTAATATACAACCCATAAATAACAAAAGTAAATTTTTGTATACAAAAATTTATCAAGGTTTCAAACCAAAATATACAGATTCCATTGGAGCGCGGACTCGTCGCTCCCCCAACGGCCATTTTTTGGCATTGCCCAGAGTTTAATTACTGTCAATCAACGCAGACCACGACTTCAAAAATAACTGTTAGAATAATTCATAAATTAGAAATATTCGAATAAAAACAATACCGATGTGTAAATTCCCCGAGTAGGGAATTTTGATTTGTTGCAGAGTAGTTGTCAAAAAATTTAAATGTAATAATTATTTAAAAGAAACAAGAATAGACCATTTGTACGTATTTTATAATTTTTAGTCTTATGCAATAACAGTCTTTGATTTTGTCAAATACTTGCTTTCAAATACACAATTTCTAAATTTGTCCAATTTCCCGAATAGTTAGTAATTTGTTCATACGTCTAGTATCCAGAATTGTCAAAAAACCTTTTGTCATTTGTCAAAATCCATACTAACCTCATTTTTTGCTACCTTATTTATTTAAAAATGTTAAAAACAGTTGCACACCGGCCTTGTTTTGCCTTGACTCGGCACCTAAAAAGTATTACTGATTTACCTTAGTGTCGTTGAGTTAGTATCTTATTTTTTGTAGTTTTGCGTCGTCTTTCCACTGCAGCCCCTGAACCCAATGGCCAGACTCTCCAGAAATACGAAACAGCGCGAAAAAACATAACCGACCTTCGCCGCATCTACCCCGAGTTTCTCCCAGACCCCAACATCGAATTCAGAAACACAATCCGGGAGAAACTTGAACGCAGTGATATGATTGCTAGACGCGCGAATATCGAGATTCCCGAATTTTACGTAGGTTCTATTCTCGCTGTGACATCATCGGACCCTCACACGCCTGGCAAGTTTAACCGATTTGTGGGAATTTGCATCAAACGGGAGGGTTGTGGCTTGAGGGCCAACTTTATCCTTAGAAACGTTATAGACCATCAAGGGATTGAGATTTTGTACGAAATGTATGATCCTACGATTAAGAGTATTGAGGTTTTGAGGCTTGAGAAACGACTAGATGGGGAACTGTTGTATTTGAGGGACGCATTGCCTGAATACAGCACTTTTGATCCAAATATGGAGATGGAAATTTTGCCGGAAGGGGCCCCAGTCCCGGTCAACGATATTAAAGTTAAGTTGAAGCCACGGCCGTGGGTGGACCGCTGGGAGAGAAAACATTTAAAAGGGGTGCAGGATTTGGAGCTGCCACAGCGGTTTTACGACAAAGCGAAGAAGGTGGATACTCCATGGGAGAGATATGATTTAATGAAACAATACATGTGGGGAGTATTTATATTCTCTTTCAGTTGTTGAAATTTATGTTTCAGGAGGACGATTCCAGAAGAAGAGCAACATGAAATTTTTTCAGAGTTGCAAACCCACTTGCATAAATCTGGTGTTACTCAGAAGGTAAAGAGGAAGAGGACTTTTGTAAAACCAACAAAATTAGCATAAATTTGTTTATTAAGTCAGAAAAGCCATTTTATAGCAACAAATTATATACAATACAAACAAATAACATTCATGTGCTAAGTATGTACAGACTTAATATAAAACACTAAAGTTTTATAAAATCCAGTCAATGTGTTATGTCACATAATACATAACAAAAAATAACTATGCTAATACTGAAGACTCTTTGAAACGTGTTTGCCAATTAGATTAGTAATAAATAGACCGGTCCTCACTAGGAAATCAAACTGAAATGACTTCAAGACATAAAAGAAAAATACATTTTCTCATTTCGTAATGTTATTGAGAAATTGTGTTTTATATGAAAAACACCAATAGATTTGGTGGGACAATCATTACTTTTGCTAAAGTAAACAGCTCATAAATAACTTAAAGTGTTTCAAGGTTGAATAATATTTCAAACAATATTTTTATGGACGTTGGTTTTACTATTCAGATAATTTTTTGTTCAATTTTTAATTCGTCCTGCAATCACTTCAATTGAATTTAAGACCGACCTATAACACAGTCACCCCTCACGCACCCTTTCACCCTCGTGGCACATTTACTGCATCTTTGAGACTTCAAACCTCGTGCTGACTAGTTCTTCGTCTGAATCTAAAATCGGCAGTGCTGGATCACTCTTAATGTTTTCCTCCAGCCATTTCAAATCGTCATCGACCGAATTACTCCTCGGTGACGCCCCCTTGGGGTGGTGTATCCTGACTTTGACTCCATACGCGTCATTGACTAATTGCTCCTCCTCCTCGTCCTCGCCTGTGTCCAAAAGGGGCACAAACGCGTACCTTTGATTGTTATTCGTGGGTCTCCACAAAATCATAATCACTAGTAGCAAAGCCGAGAACAAAATGTGCCAAAAAGCCTCCTCTAGCCAGAGATTTTTCCACACGACCAAACACTGAACGATTCGATGAGTTTTGATCGAATACAACATGAAACAGATGGAGGCGATAACAGCGAAGATTAAAGTGTTAGTGAAATGGCGATAGAGACTTAGTTTGATTTCGTTGCGTCTTAAGCGAAGAGTTCGAGTGGTGTTGACCAAAGCGCTGAAGATCCACCAACAAATTGCTGAGTCGAGGACTGCAAGTGGCACCGAAGCGACCAACAAGTCGCGACTTTGGTCGTTTTTCGGCCGCATAATCCGCAAATAGGCCTCAGAGGCAGCAAGGAAAAAATACAAGAAGCCTACACCGACAACCCTATGCAAGGTCGAGCCTAGTCTAGGTTTAACAATCCCGAAACCTAGACTCACAATCACGACCAACATCCTGGCCAACGTACGTTTGGCACAAGAGACCCACTCGGCAAACAGCATGGCCCCCTGAACCCGCATTCCCGTATTATTAATACTTTGGTATTCAGCGTAAAAAGTCGCTTTTTCCAACATTCCCAATAAGATAACGCCCCCGATCCAGAACTGGACTCTGAGCAAGTCGCGCCATTGGAGGAATGAGAGAATGAGCCAGATTATGCCCAAAATTACGTAGAAAATGCACATGAAGCCGTAGAAGGGCAAAAGGGGCCAATCGGAGGCTGAGAGGTATCCGTAATCGCTTTTCATTTCGACGTGGACGCCCACGGTTAGATCTGAGGTGTTCAAGGGGGCGCTTATTTGGAACACGAGGACGTAGACGCCGTCATGGGGGATTTCGTAGATGGGAGGCCGAGATTGGTCTTTGGTGAGGGGGGCATTATCGATGACGACATGGTCAGGGCAAGTGTACGCTCGTGTGAAGCGGTACATGGATGTGGCGTTGGCCCCAGGTGTTGGGGATTTTATCAACTGGAATTGCGTTTTGAATACAAAACCTGTCTTTTATTAAAACTTACTTCAGTCGCCTCGTTTATCGTGTTAGAGTAGTCCCAGCATGGCGACGACACTATTACCACTTTTATGTTGATTTCAAGCTCGTGGATATGAGTGTCACAATTGACTGGAAATCAAATAATTTTAGTAAAACTTAAGAAAAACTTTTGTTGTGTTACTTTTGATAAAGACTTGAGCTCCTTTGTATAAACTTTTGGTGAGGATTAAACCATTGTCGTCCTGGAAAATCAATTGTGACGTTTTGGAGGTTCCTGTGAGATATCAGGGGGTACTTACCACGGTCAGGTTAGAGTCCCATTTGCCTTCATCCGGGAGACAGGTGATCAAAGAAGTGCATATTAGAATGCATGCCACGGAAAACCATTTCTTGAACATTGCAATTTTCCGCAGGATAACCTGCAGAATGTAGTAAATCTACAATAGTGTCGCCAACACTAACAACCTTGACACAAAAATCACTAAAACAATAATTTTCTACAAAAAAAATGTTGCTAGCCGAAAAACCTAGTAACGAAAATCACTAAATTTTTTAAAATTTGTTTGGCATTTTTTTTTCGAAAAATCATCGTGATGAAAGTCATCTCAGCTCTTTTTCTTGTCTCCTGTCTAAATCTGGGACACGCATACATCTTTCCGATATGCTCCGAAACAAGTGAGTCTGTTACGTTCAAAGAAAGTCATATTTGACTTGTTTGCAGGTAAAAACGAAAAAACCTGCACGAGTTATTTTGCTTTGCCAAGTTTCACCGACTCGACTGAAGAAAATAAAGTCATTGAAACTATTAAAAAGCCCCCGCAAACACTTGTGGGGTTTTTACGGCACACTCTTGACAAATACGCTGTGCCTTTGACAGGTTATTACACGCACAATGTAAGCCCCGTTGTAGATCACGTAGGGGCTGCCGTGGGTCAGGTTTATAAAGTTGTGACTAATAATTTGCCTGAAATCAGCGACGAGTATGTTTTTATAGCGCAATATCTGCCTTTTGTCAAAGTGAAAAAGGTGATCTTTTTTTGATGCAGAATTTGAAATAATTCTTTTAATTGTAGGCTAAAGCTGACAGCAGACTTTATTTCTTGTTCATTCTGACGAGTCTTTTTATTTATTTGGTAATATATAGTGTTATTGATTACTGTTTTTATCAACTATAAATATTTTTTTCAGGTTTTGTATGCTTACTTCAGCAGAAAACTTTATTTTTATTACCAAAATGCAATCAGAAGAGAATATGTAAATAACGTGCAAAAGATCTTCAAGGCAAAGGAATAATTTTTTTATTTTTTGTTTATTAAATTTACGCCAGAATAAATCTATTTTTGTAGTTTTTCGATTATAACAATTTGGAATTACAAAAATTACATATAATAAAAGAAAAATATAAATAAAAGATCTTCGTCTGCGTTGATTGACGACGGTTATAATCTCTCTGTTCTGTGGTTATAATACTTATAATTTATATTTTTTTATAGAAGTTGACTGACATAAGACATAACCTCAAATTTGTTAAAAGTTAATTGTCTTTTTCCACTAGTTTATACTATGAATAATCTGTTTACAGTCACACGTAGGGCTATTCAATGCCGTTTCTTGCATCAGACTCCCAAATTGTTTCAAGGGAATTTGTATGAGCCCGATTATCTCGAGGTAAAACAACATAACCTTAAAAAGTCCCCCCAAATTTTTTTTAGGCTATGAAATCGCATCTGCCAATGTACGACACTTTAAATATCCAATTACGTGGCTATGATTATGCCATATTAGAGAATTATCAAAAGTTTATTCATAAATTGTTGAAAAATATGGATGTAAATGTGGAGGATGCTTGGGCAACCCCCCATCAAGTCATTCAAGTCACAACGTATAAACCAAAGAGTGAAATTGTTAATACACAATATAATTTGAAGCTTTATGATCGGACAGTACAAATAACTGATGTATTATCAACTCAGGTATTTTTGAAACAATTTTTTTGTGAAATTGAGACGGATTTGCAGTTGCCAGTTATTTTACGTGCATTGGAAGCAAGTACACCAGCGGGTGTTACGGTTCACGTCAGGCCCCATGAAGAATGGGACGAGGAAATTAGATACGTGCCTGACACGGAATTAAAACAGTTGAAGCAGGAACTAGACGACTTAGGGGGACCTCTTAAGAAGAAATAAAAATGTCATTAATTCAAAAACTGTATTTAATTTTGTATAGTTTAAAAAATAATTTCTAATAATTTTGCCGCTCTTATTTGAACGTTCCATTTTGACCACTTTTAGTGTCGAACCCAAAAACCCTAAATGATGTTGTTTCTCCCAGTTGCAAAATGCATTTAAAATCCATTGATTTTTAATAAATTCGTTCAAATTGGTCCAACCTTCGGGTACTTCGTTCCCATTATGTAATTTGGAGCATATTTTTGTCACCAATTTATTTAAAATTTTTAGGTTATATAATGGGTTGAATTGTCCCAGGATGGAGATGAACATAGAAACGGCAGTCCGGCTTCACCCCACGGGATATTCCCCCACCGACATGGTCTGCGTCCACGCCAACCCCGTCAACAACACCATTCAGCTCGCGAATTCGCAAAACTACCCCGTGAATTACGCCCTTCCGGCCGACTGTTGCCAGAACACGGTATTCACAACTACGACAGCCCCCTTGGTGAATTATTTAGTGGAAGGATGCGACGTCTCAGTGGTCACGTTGGGCCAATCCGGGACTGGAAAATCCTACACCCTCCTAGGCCCAGGCTTCCATTGTGCGGCTAGTGAGGCTGACCACGGTATTATCCCCAGGTTTATTCGCGAGGTTTTTGCCAAAATGAAACAATACAGAGACAGGAATTGGTGTGTGCATATCGCTTGGTCCCAGATTTGTGGTGAAAACGTCCAAGATTTGCTAGGCGTTGGGAGTATTGAGTGCCGCAATATCAGTGATGTTTTCCAGTTGATTCAAGTGGGGATGTCGAACATAGCCCCCAAGTGCGCCCATACGTTGTTCACTCTCACTTTGGAGCAGCAATGGGTGGTTGAGACGAGTGTCCAACATCGCGTTTCAACAGCCAGTTTTGCTGATTTAGCCGGAAGTGAGAAAGTCTTGGTTTATGACAGCAACGGCATGATGCAAACAATCCCCACTGACTTGGGAATACAGACTTTACAGAGGTGTATAATGTCCCTGTCTGATTTTAACTGTAGTTTTGTCCCATACAGCCAATCCGTTTTGACAACGCTACTCAAAGACTCATTCGGGGGGCGCGCGAAGACACTTCTAATCTGTTGCGTGTCCCCCCTTGTCCAAGACTTCACTGAGACTTTGTATACTCTTCAGTTGGGTTTGAGGGCTCAAATGATCAAAAATTTCGTCACTGTTAACTCCTATGCCACTTTTGAGTCATCACAGGAGAATTGTGACATTTTTGGCCTACAATTCGCCGCCAATCAACTTTTGAAACTTGTCTCGAACGCTGAAGAGTTGTTTCAACGATTGGTAGCAAATGATTTATTACCAAAAAGCGAACAAGAGCAAATATCACAATGGCTGACGCTCAAACAGGAATGCGAGGACTGTTTGAGTGAAAATTCGGAGCCCCACAGGTCACTCGAGAGGATTGAGGAGGAAATTGAGAGTGATAGTAGTGAAAGTGAGGTCATTGAGGAGGAGGAGAAGGAGAGTCTCCTCGATAGGGTTCAAGGTTTGATGGGGACTTTTCGCTCAAATACTGATAAATTAGTTTCTGACGCAAATTGCACGAATGTTACGAATTCTGGTACCAAAGAAAGTATGAATAGTTCGAATAATGAGTATCATATGAAAGGGGCACGGGGGCGCAGAGGGAGTATCCACTCGGCTGAAGAATTAAATCCCTGTTTGTCTCTCCATACATTGCGGATTAATGATGATTTAGAGAGTCAAAAAATTGCAGTTACGTCTTATGATAATAAGAAGAAAATTCTCAAACAAATTGCGACTGCGTTAGAGTTAAATCAGAAGAAAATTTGCGATTTGGAGAAGACGATTCGAGTCAAGGAAAATCTTATGGAAAAACTTCTGAAACACAAAGACACAAAATCGAGTGCTCATCATAAAATCGAGCAGAAATGTCAATTGTTACGCAAGGAATATAAAAATGCCGAGGTCAAGTTTTTGCAAGCAAAATTGCAAAAAAATCACCACTTGGAAGGGAAATACAAGAATGAAGTTGTGGCTCTTGAGGAGCGACTCCGCGATACCGAATCTCTGAAAAACCTCACCGAAGATGGGAACAAATTATTAGAATTAGAAAGTAGTCTTCATACAGACCGGGAGAAATTGAAAAAGTACAAGCAAGAGAAGGAAAAATATAAACAAATTTATGAGAAACAACTGAAGGAGGAGCGGTCAAAGTCCAAAGCGAGTTGCGAAAGCGTTCCGAGGACCCCCGACGTTAAAGTCGTCGCTTTAATAAAACCTAACGTTTCTTTAAATAACGAAGAACTAGAAAGTCTGAGACACGAAATTCGCAACTTGCGCAAAACCCGCGACTATTTACTGGAATTGCGTTGCAAAATCAACCTCAAATCGCAAAATAAAAAATTCTTGAACGACTCCGACGAACGCAAGTTGTTGCAATACGAGGAAGCTATTGAGGCTATCGACTTGATTATAGAGTACAAAAACTCGATTTTGTGTGGCCACCTGCCGGTTAAAGAAATCGAAGACCACGGCGATCGGATGCTGATGGAGCGCTTCCTCAAACTCAGCGAGAACGAAATGAGGATCCTCCTTCACAAGTATTTTGAAAAAATCATCGATTTGAGGAGTAGTAGCAAAAAGCTCGACTTGGAGATTCTCGATATAGAAAACCAACACGAAAATCTCGCTTATCGCGTACAAAAATTGAGTCATAATCTACAACTGGTCAGGTCTGACGCCGAGCGGAGGATTGCGTCGCTTCAGCAACAACACGAGGATAAGTTGTATCTAGTTTTGAGAAATTTGACAGGGGATGGGGCTGATAATGAGAGGATAAGTCGGGTTTTGGGGTCGAGAGCAGTGACAGTACAAGTGGCCGGGGCGAGTAAACAAGTTGATAAAAACAGGTTTATAGCGAAGTGGACGCGATACCGACAAGAAACGGTACCGAGACAATTGCAGTCGGTGCCCCCTCAAGCCAAGGTCACCATCGAGAAAAACAAAATTATTTTACAAAAAACCAATAAGAATTAATTGTATTTTATTGTCTAGGTTAGGGTAGGACAATAATGATGTAATCGTAGTTTATTTAATAAATGTGATGATAACATTTTTTATTTTATTTTTAAAACAAAATATAAATTTGAAATTGGTGCGTCTTGAGTGATTGCGTACTAGGATTAATCGTTATGTGGTCTGAAGCCTATCGCAATTACCACTGCTTTATTATTGTAATTGGTTTTAAAAACGTGATGTGAATCAAAGCTTTAAATTTGTTTTGTTTAATTTGGTTTGATATGTGTGTGTTGAAATTGGTGATCGCGTCCGGCGGTTAGCCGTCAGCTGAGTTGACGTCTTGCAACCCTTCGGACGTAAAAACCCCATTTTGCGACAACCGGCCTGTCATTTACAACATGGCAGAAGTAGTTTCGTGTAGTAATGTGATGGTAAAAAATCGTGTTTGGTGTTGTCCAAATTGGTGATAAAAGTGTGTTGTGTGCGTGTCGGGATTGATCAAACGCCATGGCGGATTTAACAAAACCGCCCCTAAGTGACATCAAGCACCCCGAAGAGGTGGTGCGAATGGCAATGAACGATAGTCTCAAGTTCGCCGTTTTAATCGGACTGATTGAAGTGGGCCAGGTGTCAAATCGGGAGGTGGTCAACACTGTTCTGCAGCTGGTAAGTTACGGGGGCGGTAATGGTGGCGGCGCCGGGGGCTAGCGTAAACAAAACCCTGATGAGGGACGGAGGATACGAAACGTTGTTGTTTTGCAACATGCATGAGGTGGGCGTGACGAGGATACAACGTGGAATTGAATCGTTTCGGTGGTGTACCTGTTATCAAACAGGTTCCACACAGGCGATTTGCGGACTTCTTTGATTGATTACGCGATTAGGGAAATGTACCCTCGTCAACGCTTTTAAGGGATTTTTGCGCAGTCCTATCGGTTTGGTATCATCTATTTAATCTATAGTATCTCTTTTGGAAGGGTTTGGGGGACATTATTGACAACAAATGCACCTTAGAAACAAATGAATGATTTGGGATTTTATTGGCTTCCTGTAGACACGTGACTTTTACACGAAACCCATATAATAAATTAATATTTTTTCATGTTTGTTTTTGTCTTCTCGTAACTCAAGTGTCTGCCTGAGAATTTTTGGATTGTTAGTTATTTAATTGGGTTATTTTTTAAGCAATTTAAATTGAATTATAATAATATTTTATTGCTTATTTATGACTCATTTAATTCTTATCTGTTTACCTAAATTGTGTTTTAAAGTTTTTAATGTATGGTTACTTTTATTATCTTTATGTAGACATTTTTTTTCATTCAGTGGACATGGGATAGAATCTGTCAAATTGTCATGGCCAACGTCTGTTTTTTTGGGTATTAAACAGTAGTGTATTTTGGTGTTTTATGCTTCGGTAGTTTATCTGAATGCCAAAAATACAAAGAAATTAAAAGTTAAAATGGAAGGTTTCATTTCAATCGTATTTTTTTAAAAAATGATTTATCGCTTCAATTACAACGAAACCAAGTAAATAATTTTTCTTTGAAGTTTTATAAAGGTAAATTCCAGAAAATGATGTCTAGATAAGGTGTACAATGTTTACTTTGATAAGCGGGGAATAAAACAACAAATTAGATATATCTTTATTTATTTTTTGTTGAACGATAATAAGTCAATAGAATTTTGCCGTTTTGACATTTTTTGATCAGTTGTATTAAATTGGATGGTTGTTCGGGAAGGTGGGTTAAAGTGGTGCTTGGAATTTCTATTGTTTTTGTGGGGTCATTTCGGTTATAAAGTTGTCTGACTGTCTGCACGAAATCTTGCGAGTTATATTTGAGACAGGAAAAAACTAACGGTTTGTTCAATAATCAAAAAAATTGAAAGAACTCTTAAAAACAACAAAAAAATTCAAAAATTAAAAAAAAAAAATTAAAATTACGACAAACCAGATAAAAAAAAACTAAATCAAAAAACAAAAAATGGTTATTTATTATATAAGACGATAAATAAATTGTTTATTTACGAGTGAAAAGGTTAAGTTTACGAGTGACGAAATCACGAGTGTACTTTTTTCGTTTTATTTTGTACTCACCTACCAGAATTTCTTGAATTCAAACAGTATATAAAATTTACTTTATTTTACTAGAGGATAAAAGACTACTTTATCTACTAAAATTAGTTGATAAAAGCACTCCTTAACATTGAGTACAAAATAAAAAATCAAGAAAATAAAACAAAACAACAAGTAACAAGACTAAAAAGTACAAAAATATATACGAAAAAATGTTTTTTTTTTAAATGAAACTAAAAATACGACTAAACAGATCGAAAAAATTTAAAAAAAAAGAAAAAAACCAAGACAAAATTTAAAAAAAAAGAAAAAACCAAGAAAATAAAACTTAAATGATTTCACAAAACAATAAGTAAAGACTAAATATAAAGTGAAAAACTATCCAAAAAATGTTTTTTAAAAATTAGCTTTCATTAAAAAATGTACTAAAATAGTAGAGTAGAGTAATAGAGTAAATAGTTATTTATTATACAAGACGATAAAGAAATTGTTTATCTATGAGTGAAAAGGTTAAGTTTACGAGTGACGAAGTCACGAGTGGACTTTTTTTACCAGTAGATATACAATCTTTATCGTTGTGTATAATATTTCGTTTTATTTTGTACTCACCTACCAGAATTTCTTGTGTCTGGCATATTTTTTTTACATTTTTTAAAACAAAAATTATAAAAATTGGACATATTGAACACTGCATTAGCCATCTTCACGCTGGTATTGATAGTTCTTCTACATAGTTCTTTTCTTTACTACTTTAAGCATGTATTCATCATGTGTAAGTTATTAATAAAGAATATAAACAGTAGATAAAAATTACTTTATTTTACTAGACGATAAAAGACTTCTTTATCTACCGAAATTCGTTGATAAAAGCACTCTTTTAACATTGAGTACAAAATATATTTTTTTTTCTGTCAGAGAAGAACATTTGCTTACACCTTAAGATTTTAAAGTTTATAACAGCTTTTACTTTTTCGTACATTTTTTCTAATAAAAACTAATTTTTAAAAAACATTTTTTTATATATTTTTATATTTCATTAAATACCAGAAGATTAATAAATGTTTTCAATCAAACAGTGTATCATTTTACCCCACATTCCTCGTAAAATTCGATACATTTGCGGTTCTGGAATTCGCATTATGTTTCCGAACAACTTGTTATCTTACCTGCCGGTGTTTTTTTTTAAATCCGGCGTAGATTTTGATTTCCTCCAGTAAAAGAAAAGAAAAGAAAAGTCTAATTAAGGCGTCTCGCCGTCTTTTTCTCGTGCTCCTGTCGAGATAAATAACGAGATAATAATGAAAGCATTAACGTTGAGTGGATATTTATCGGGTCGAAATTAGTTAAAGGTTTATGATCGGCTTGAGGGTCGAATAGAGAAGGTGACAGGGCGTATAACTCGGAAGCCGAATTAGTTCGCTTATGACTTTATTTCACCCTCGAACAATTAACGTTGGTGGTATATAATGTTCCACCTTCTCTTCTTCTTTGTCTTATTTTTTTAAGATTTTAATTTCGAGGAGACATAATCAAGAGGAATTTTCTTTTCTCATGGCGACGACGGCAACGTGTTCTAAAACGGATTAAAAGTTTGTAAATGTTGTAATGGAAACGCGACCGACGCAAAGATATTCGCGAAAAACACCTCCAGGAAATGTCTGACGATGTAATTTGATTAAGATGAGAAATTTTAAATGTTGAGACGTTTCAGATTTAGGGAGTGTCAATATTGATATAGCATAAGAGTTACAGATTTAGTCGAGGATTCAAAACGTGAGAGACGATCGTTATTCATTCGAAATATTTGCATAATCGAAGTCGACGAATCACGCAGAGATAAGAGCATCTGTCGTAAAAATATTACATTTTATATTTTATGTGTTTTTCGAAAATAAAAAATTAAAATTAATGGACTATAGCATCGATTTTGGAAGTGGCGCTAATTAGATTCCGAGCCACTTTCGTGGCATTAATCCGATTACGCATGAAGGTTTGGGTCCTCTTTGTAACCGAGTGAAAATTTTTTCTAAGTCGTAAATTGGCAATGTTTGGCGTTAAATAGCGTAGGAGAGACGAGGATTCCGCACCCGCCGAGAGGTGTGGTCCTTTCTCTACTCTACCAATCGATTCTACCGTAAACATTTCTGGAGCAGTTGGGAAAACAAAGCCGTCGTCTCATCTTAAACCACTCGAAATTTATAATTTTGTAAAAAAATATATTTAATAATTTTCAAGCGAAAGGGGAGAAATATTCCAGGTCATGGATCAGACTAAGCGTTAACTGCACTCGTTGAAAACGACTACGTTTCTCTAGTGCAGTTTGCAGTTAATTGTGCACAGCTTAATTAAGTCAAGGTGTGGAGTTGAGAGGTTGAAAGCTTTAGTCGAGTAATCGCTCACATTTGAAAATAAAGCACGAATGTCGAATTCACAGAAGCAAAAAATTAAGCTCTTGTTAGAGTTAGATGATTGATTTAATCTTGATTCATTAATTATGTAGGCAGTGTTTGGAAAAAAATCGTCTACAGGGTGTCAGACCTCGCGCCTCCTAGAAAAATTTTAAGTAAGGTAAGATACCAGGAACATGGACAAAATGTTTAAAATTTTTCTCTGGGGCGCGAGTTCCGGTGCACCTGTATACAGAAAGATATAGTTTTTTTTGTACAAATTTTATTTACATTTTTTTTACTTCACTTTTATTTATTATTATAGTCATCATTATTATTTTTTAAATTGTTGTAACTACGTATCCAAAGTCTATTTGTATTTTTTATATAGTTTTTTCTCGATTTTCTTGGGTTAAGAAATTTGAAATAAAAGATTTGGTTCTGATAAGAGATCGAATCACAAACATTTGTAAAAAGTGTTAAAAAAGCTTTCCTAGTTATTAGTTTCTTTTTTTTTAGTTAATAAACAGGACAATTTTTAATTTAAGCTTAAACTAATTAATTAATAATAATTTTTTTTTGTCAATGTAACAATCAGTGCAATTTTAATTGAAGCATCAAGCATGTCAAAAATATTTTGACTGGCTCAAAACAGGAAAAAGATTTAAATCAAAAAGCGCTTTATTAATTCTTGAACTTTTGTTAAAGCTGACTTTTGGTTTGTTGTGCGAAGTTATCAGAGATTCAATTTATTATTTTCTCGAAAACTTCCACACTTATATTCTTCGGATGATGCTTGAAAGCACTCAGTGTCATTTTCTTGTACACACCGCGGTCGAATTATCGAAAATCGATGCAGTTTCTATTTTTGAGTTGTGACGGGAGAGAGTTGATCCAGCAAACAACCATCAAGTTGGAGTGTGTTTCGCCAACATAGGTTAGCAAATTTCAGATATAAAAAATTCAAACTATCGAACTGTAATAAAATGTCTGAGTTCATGACATAATTAGAGAGTTTTCCGTTTTGCGAAGCAAAATCGATAAGGGTAGTCGGTCACGTACCGCTTTTATTTTTTAAAACTAATTTCGGACCCGGCGCATCCACCAAAATGTTGATGTTGTGGAAGTAATAAATTGTTGATTGATTCGGTGTCGCTTGAGCCATCAATATTTATTGGTGTGGTGCAAGAGTAACGAACAAT